AATTCCTAGGTCCAAGAAACTTTCTTAAAATCTCCATCAGATTTTCTTTTCTGAGATCTCTTGTGGTGTGGTTTTTATTTATTTGGAAGTTGTATTATTCAACTCTAGAATTTGAGAGAACTGTTTGACATAATGCTCTGAAGGTTCCTGGCTATGAATTTATTCCCATTAAAAAAAAAAAATGCAGTTAAATAGCTGAGTGTTGTGGCAGGCACCTGTAGTCCCAGCTACTTGGGAGGCTGAGACAAGAGAATCCCTTAAGCCCAGGAGTTGGAGGTTGCTGTGAGCTATGTGACACCACGGCACTCTACTGAGGATGATAAAGTAAGACTCTATCTCAAAAAAATAAAAACCCACAGTTGATTTCATAATCTAGGTAGTTTAGCTAGTACCTGGGAGATATAATTTGCAATCCATGGGATGAATAGGGGAGTTTCTGAAGTTATGTTAGAAAAAGGCTATTGCACAATGTCTTATAATAACTATTACAGGCAGAACACAGTGGCTCGTGCCTGTAATCCTAGCACTGTGGGAGGCTGAGGCAGGTGGATCACCTGAGCTTAGGAGTTCAAAACCAGCCTGAGCAAGAGTGAGACCCCTGTCTGTAAAACTAGCCAGGCATTGTGGTGGTTACCTGTAGTCTCAGCTGCTTGGGAAGCTGAGGCAAGAGCCCAAGCCCTTGAGGTTGCTATGAACTATGAAGCCATGGCACTCTACCAAGAGCAACAAAGTGAGATTCTGTCTCAAAAAAAACAAAAACAGAAAAAGTATTTTATCGTGTAGAAACGTGGCAGACATCTCCTTACCACATGATCAGGGTTACCATCACATAATAATCATGTTGCTATCACTCAGTGATACAATGACATGAGATGGGCATATTGACTCTGTGATATTCTCCCAAACCCTTAACCCCAGTCTAGTAATAAGAACATTATGGAGAAACCCAATTTGAGGGATATTATACAGAGTACTTGGCCAGTATTCTTCAAAAGTTCCAAAATCATATAAGCCAAGTAAATTCCAAGTAACTCTCATAGATTAGCATAACGAATGCCGTGATAACTAATTGCGACTTGATATCCTGGATTAAATGAAAAAGGATGTTAGTGGAAAAATGGGTGAAATGGAGTAAAGCCTGTAGTTTAGTATTGTACCAATGGTTTAATAAATATATCATGGTTCTGATGCCACCACCACTGCGGCTGCTGCAGCCTCTGGGAGCCTGGAAAAGGGGAATTGAGAGGGAGCGAAGGACTCAGTCCCCAGGCTGCAGCAGTGGCCGGGGAGGGGGGTGGTGCAATAGCCGGGGCAGGGGCGCTGCTGCTGCTGCTGCTGCTGCAGGGGCCAGTGGTGGCCAGCACTAGCCATGCCGAGTAAAAACAAGGAGAAAGAACCACCTAAAGCAGGAAAAGTGGGAAAAGTTCAAAAGAAGGACAGCAAGACGCAGGAGAACCCGAGCAGATTTCCAGCAAGAAAAACAGCCTTGCCGCTGTCCCGTCTACAGTACCTTCTGAAATAAAAGTACCAATCTCTCAGCCCTTAGCAAAGAAAGACAAATGGCAAAATTCCTCAAGGTTTAGCGCAAGCAGTAATAGAGAACTTCAAAAACTACCATCTTTAAAAGACGTTCCTCTTGCTGATGAAGAGACGTTTTTAAAATCCAGAAGTTAGGTCACAGTTGTGTCCTCTTTGTCTTTGTTTCCCATCCACTAAGTGACCTGAAGTGGAAGGAAGTAGAACGAGCTGAAGTGAACGAGCGTTAAGTGAGACGGTGGAATATATCACCTGCGACGAGAATGTGCTCACAGAGCCTGTTTACCCAGAAGTGGGACCTATGTTTGCAGTTCACATCTTTCAGACATTACCACCTTCCTCCAATCCTACGGGAGCAGACTTTGACCCAGAGGAAGACCAACCAACGTTAGAAGCAGCCGGGCCTCATCTACAGCTGGTTTATGAATTTTTCTTAAGATTTTTAGAGTCTCCAGATTTCCAACCTAAGATAGCAAAGAAATATATTGACCAGAAGTTTGTATTGCAGCTTTTAGAGCTCTTTGACAGTGAAGATCCTCGGGAGAGAGATTTTCTTAATACCACCCTTCGCAGAATCTATGGGAAATTCTTAGGCTTGAGAGCTTACATCAGAAAACAGATAAATAACATATTTTATAGGTTTATTTATGAAAAAGAGCATCACAATGGCGTAGCAGAATTACTGGAAATATTGGGACATATAATTAATGGATTTGCTTTACCGCTAAAAGAAGAGCACAAGATTTTCTTGTTGAAGGTGTTACTACCTTTGCACAAAGTGCTATCGCCGAGTGTCTACCATCCCCAGCTGGCATACCATGTAGTGCAGGTTTTAAAAAAGGACAGCATCCTCACTGAACCAGTGGTGATGGCACTTCTCAAATACTGGCCAAAGACTCACAGTCCAAAAGAAGTCATGTTCTTAAATGCATTGGAAGAGATTTTAGATGTAATCGAGCCATCGGAATTCGTGAAGATCGTGGAACCTCTTTTCCGGCACTGAGCCAAGTGTGTCTCCAGTCCACACTTCAGCAGCAGCCATGAGCTTCTGTCTTTCAGGTGGCAGAACGGGCACTGCATTACTGGAGTAATGAATACATCACGAGCTTGATCAGCGACAACGCCGCCAAGATTCTGCCCATCATGTTCCCATCTTTGTACCAAAACTCGAAAGACCCATTGGAATAAGACGATACATGGCTTGATACACAACACCCTGAAACTCTTCATGGAGATGAACCAGAAACTTTTCCATGACTACACTCAACAGTTTAAAGCCAAAAAACTGAAAGAGAAGCTAAAAATGAAAGAACAAGAAGAAGCATGAGTTAAAATAGAAAATCTAGCCAAAGCCAATCCCCGAGGCACTAAAAAAGAGAGTAACATGAAAACGTCCAGGGTGTTACTTGAATGTTTTTCTAAGATAGGAATATGTCTTCATCATGGAAAGGGGACATCAGTTTCATTAACATTGTATATAAAAATGTCTACAATAAAAAATACTTTTCAACTTTATAAAAATAAATAAATATATATATATATATCATGGCATCCATAGCTCAGTGGGTAGGGTGCTGGCTGGTTTGAACCCGGCCCTGGCCAGTTAAGACAAAAATGATAACTGCAACCAAAAAATGACTGAGCGTTGTGGCAGATGCCTATAGTCCCAGCTACTTGGGAGGCTGAAGCAAGAGAATCGCTTAAGCCCAGGAGTTTGAGATTGCTGTGAGCTATGATGCCATGGGACCCTACCCAGGGCGACAGCTTGAGACTCTGTCTCAAAGAAAAAGATGCTAACATTAGGGCAATCTGAGTACAGCTCCTCTCTAAATCTAACATTATTTCAAAGTAAAGTTGCTTTTGTTTTTGTTTATAGTTTTTTTGTTTTGTTTTTTGCTTTTTGGCCAGCGCTGGGTTTGAACCCACCACCTCCAGTATATGGGGTCTGTTTTTGTTTTACTTAAATTATGCTTATCCTTCTGGACAATTTGTACCCCAAAAGATAATCTTCCCTAGAAAACTACTTCTGCCTTCTTAAATCCAAGAGATTCTCTTGTCCCAGGACGTGGAGTCCATCAAGTTCTAGATCTTCTGGGCTAGAGACTTGGTGCAGGTAGAGAAATGTGTGGATGAAGGAGGTGGTGTGTGTATAACCAGGGCCATATGGAGGACCTTAAAGATGTGGTCTGAAGTCATAGACCCTGTGACAAGAGGTCAGGCTGGAAGAATCAGAGAACTGAGTGGACTTTGCTTTGGAATGGATAGCCAAAGAGAGAATGCAGCTTTATGATATGAAAGAGGCATTCGTGAA